GGCACAGTTTGACGCTCAAGACTTCCCCTGATAAAAAACAAGGTGCGAGCCCCGGGAAGGGCACTTCAATCGACAAAAAAAATGTGCACCGGACGGGGGGGATCAACAATAATTGTTCTTCAGAACTGAGAGTTCAACAACAACAACAACAACAACAATCACTTTACCCGAACGCTCAGTGTTCTCACCAGTGCCAGGGTTTTCATGCGACGCCAGCCAATACCCCCACTTTGTGGGGGGCAGTGCAAGCTCTACCAAATATCCACACGACTCTTCGCCACCACCCACACCCAGCTTCCCGCCCTATGACGTTCGGACACTTCACTTCGTGGCCTGCGGACGACCGTGGCTACTACACTGGCGTGGAGTACACACCCACAGAAGTTGTTAAGCCTACGTTCGTACACCCACAGAAGTTGTTAAGCCTTGTTAACCCACAGAAGTTGTTAAGCCTTCCACAGAACATCTGTTGCATATGATGCATATGGTACATGATACACATGATACACATGATACGTACTCACAAGATAGTTGATCACATCTTTAGGGCAAATTCCTGAGGGATGTGGGAATACACAAGAGAGAGAGGATATGGTTGTCCCGATGGTTGTCTCGATGGTTGTCCCGATGGTTGTCCTGATGGTTGTGGTTGTCCCGATCGTTGTCCCGATGATTGTCCCGATGGTTGTCCTGATGGTTGTGCTTGTCCCGATCGTTGTCCCGATGACTGTCCCGATGATTGTCCCGATGGTTGTCCCGATGGTTGTTCCGATGGTTGTCCCGATGGTTGTCCCGATGGTTGTGAGCGATGCCGGATCCTCACGCCCCCCGCCGGAGGAGGAGGAGGAGGAGGAGCAGGACAAGGAGGAAAGGAGAGAAGAGAGAGGAGGGGCGGGAACGGCGCTTGCACGCCCACCCACGCGCAACCTATGGCGCAACCAATAGGGGGACGTTTTATTCTCGGCGGCCGAGGGCGCAACCTATGGCGCAACCGCAAGGGATTGTGGCCCCTGGCAGGCGCGCGAACCCCGTTGCAAGAGCGTGCGAAAGTAGCTCGCGCGAGCTCATGTAACATAAATGTTGGAAAACCATTGGTTTTTTTAGGATTCGGACAGCGCGCGCGGGTAGAAATTTTGAAAAGTCGTGCAGGTGTTTTTCGAGGACCTACGGTGCGATTCGTGTGATTTTATGATGCGCGGTGCTAAAATTCTTAAGAAGCCCAATGGTTTTTGGAGATTTCGGCGTGCGCGCGCGAAGAAAAAACGAATGTGTCCCGCATGGTATTATTTGACAGGGATGATGGCCCTGGCAGGTGCGCAACCGTTGTCGCAGAAGTTCGAAAAAGTTGCTCGCAAAAGCCCGTTTGACAGAAATGTTTAAAAAGTGTTGGGTTTCCTACGAATCCGCAAGAGCGCGCGGGATGAGATTTTGACAGTTTTTTGTTGAAAAACCATTGGTTTTTTTTGATGTTTTTATGTTAAAATCGCTGCGAACACTAAGGTTTTGGAAGGATTTCGTCTTGCGCGCGCGAATGTCCACTTTACCTTATTTTTTGCAAGGGATTCTTGAAATTTGATTATATTAGAACAAGAAATGTCATTTTCTATTGTTTTTTGCAAGGGAAAGCGGATTACAACAAAACAACCGGATCCTGTACACACCCTCTTTTCTGAGGCTTCCTCACGAAAATGATGAAAATGTAGCTGCGGCCTAGGCGGCGCAGGGGGGGCGCGCACCAGGGGGCCCAACAATAACCCACAGAAGTTGTTAAGCCTTCCACAGAACATCTGTTGCATATGATGCATATGGTACATGATACACATGATACACATGATACGTACTCACAAGATAGTTGATCACATCTTTAGGGCAAATTCCTGAGGGATGTGGGAATACACAAGAGAGAGAGGATATGGTTGTCCCGATGGTTGTCTCGATGGTTGTCCCGATGGTTGTCCTGATGGTTGTGGTTGTCCCGATCGTTGTCCCGATGATTGTCCCGATGGTTGTCCTGATGGTTGTGCTTGTCCCGATCGTTGTCCCGATGACTGTCCCGATGATTGTCCCGATGGTTGTCCCGATGGTTGTTCCGATGGTTGTCCCGATGGTTGTCCCGATGGTTGTGAGCGATGCCGGATCCTCACGCCCCCCGCCGGAGGAGGAGGAGGAGGAGGAGCAGGACAAGGAGGAAAGGAGAGAAGAGAGAGGAGGGGCGGGAACGGCGCTTGCACGCCCACCCACGCGCAACCTATGGCGCAACCAATAGGGGGACGTTTTATTCTCGGCGGCCGAGGGCGCAACCTATGGCGCAACCGCAAGGGATTGTGGCCCCTGGCAGGCGCGCGAACCCCGTTGCAAGAGCGTGCGAAAGTAGCTCGCGCGAGCTCATGTAACATAAATGTTGGAAAACCATTGGTTTTTTTAGGATTCGGACAGCGCGCGCGGGTAGAAATTTTGAAAAGTCGTGCAAGTGTTTTTCGAGGACCTACGGTGCGATTCG